AAGACACCAACTTAATGCTAGTGTGTAATGGATGCCAAGAGCCACAAGGTTTTTTTTTTTTGGAATAACATGCGCAATAAGATCAGAAAGTGCTATAAAAAAGAAAATCAGGTGCAATAAGGGGCAACTTTAAAGGCATTGTTCACCCAAAAATGATAATTCTGTCATCATTTACTCATTCTCATGCCGTTCCAAACCTGTATGACTTATACTTTCTTCTGTGGCACACAAAAGAAGATATTTAGAGAAATGGGGTCAAAACAACGTTGGACCCCGGATTAAAAAAAAAGAAGATATTTTAAAATATCTTCTTGTGTTCTGCAGTCATATGTTTGGATCGACATGAATAAATTATGACATACTTTTTTTTTTTTTTTGATGAACTATATACGTTTAACCAGTGTTCACTAACCCTGTTGCTAAAGGCACACCAAAGCTGCATTCGAAATCGAATACTTCCTTATACCATGCGTAAAAACAGAACGACCTTCTACTTCCGTCGTGATTCTGAAGTACGGTAATTGGCTCTTCGGTTCAGATATCCTTTAAAGTCAGTGCAACTGCTTTAAAATTAATGCAAAATCAACAGCGTGTTTTAGAAAAGAAAAGAGAACACTTGCAGAGATGTGCGGTGCACAGAAGGGTAAAAGCAGAATTTGTGTGAGGGCAATACAAGTTCACTTCTCATTACTTAGGCGTAAGACACAAATCAAGTCAGATTGCGATTTAAAAACTAAAATTTTACATTTTCTGAAGAAAATATGAGTGCTGCTTGCCTGTGAAAAAGACACCAACTTAATGCTAGTGTGTAATGGATGCCAAGAGCCACAAGGTTTTTTTTTTTTTTGGAATAACATGCGCAATGAGACTGATGGACACTTTACTAGTGAAGCGCAGCAACTGACACTGGTAGGTCACATGACAGTAACAACATGGTGGATGTAGTACTTCAGAATTACATTCATACTATCCAAATTTATACTATACAGAACTTACTTTTTAATGGTCATGAAGAAAATTCAAATTCAACTGTAGTACCTACTCATCATGTAATTTCGGACGCAGAGCAACACTACACATTTTCGAACTCTATCTAATCAAACACACCTGATCGAACTCATCAGCTCATTAATAGAGAATCCAAGACCCGAAATATATGGATCAGATAATGCCAGGTACACGCTTGCATGATTTTAGCCACGATTTTCACTCGCAATTGCCGACAAATCGGCGCTCTTTCCCGTGAGTGACAATCCCGTAGTGTGTATGATCAAAGACGCGATCTGAGAGAAGCGCTGATGCGTCACGAATGCCACTGAAACATTTAGCATGTGAAATATCTGGACCTGTCTGTAACTCAGAGTCATGCAGTGTGAAATGTGTTTTGATGGAAATTACATCTGCGATGACAACAGCCAATGAGAGAGCAAGACACAGGGCAAGGAAAGTTTCAGAGGGAAGAGTCATAGACCTCTAACAGAACATCAGAAAGCATGGCTTCGGCAAGCAAACATTCTCTGCTTTTCCGCTGCAAATCGGCACACAGAACACTTTGATCACAAGCTTCTTCTTATTATAACTAGAAGAAATCCTGTCTCACGCGTGATCTCACGTTATTTCCTGTATCAATTCTCATGTGTTTGGTTGTGAAACGTCGTTTGCAGACCATACAGAGTTGTTGGCGATTCTTCCTATGTGTGACCCACTGTCGCATAATGTGACACAACAGCAACTAAATGGAAACCCAGACAGGGGTTTGTGAGAGAAGTCATGTTGTGAGAGAAGAAAAGTGATACGACAACTTTTAAAACCGTGCAGTGTACCCAGTTTAAGGGAGACATCCAAAATGTGCACTGTTGGTTGGGAAACACTGCATTTAACTCTTAGGGTTAGTTTGTTGAAATCCCTAATGCCAATAAATATATAGCTGTGTTATAGGTGGAATGGAAAACACATTTGGTGTTTGTTTGTGTGTATAAGTTAGAGAGAGAGAGAGAGAGAGAGAGAGAGAGAGAGAGAGAGAGAGAGAGAGAGAGAGAGAGAGAGAGAGAGAGAGAGAGAGAGGCTAACGTGTCAAATGGATAAATGTCAGTGGCCGCTTCATCGACAGCATGGCCCTCCCCTCCCTGTTGAAATGCCATGTGTAAATCGTAGTTCCAGGGCCGACAGCCAGTCTCCCAGAGCAGAATAATGAGATTACAGCACTCGCTGCCACTGTGGACGCACAGGGGTGGGCTGGGGAGGCACACATAAACCTGGCTTACACAAAGAGAGCAAATCAGCTACATTTCACACACGCTGGAAGAAAAAGTAGGCTTTACACTGAGGCAGATTACAATTACCTCACTCTCTCACTTTCCAACTGTCTTTCCCTCTTCAAGTCTTATCTCTACAGTCTCTCACTCAAATTAAACAAACTGTCTCCAAACCACTCATTTCCACATATTTGCATAACATGCAGTTAACATGCACAGCTGATTTAGCAGGGACAGAGGTTTACTGTACTTATTAGTAAACACAGTTCTTAAAAATAAGAACTCCATGTACAAATGAAAGGGGTCAATATGTCATCACGCTCATTCTTTCATTTGCTAAAAAAAAAAAATACATTAAAAACGCAATTTGTTCAAAAATGATGAAAACATCTCTTCAAAGATGACTAGTTACTGAATTAATTTTAATTCATTTGTGAATGTCTACAGAAGCTGGTGTAACTTGCTTGAGAAAATAAAAGAGTATGATTAAAAGACTGAAGAAAAAGGCTAATTTAAAAGGTGGTTTTATAAATAAATAAAACATTTGAAACGTTTAAAAAAGATTTGAAACATGCAGGATGCAATTTCTTTGTGTTGAAAAAAATTATGCTGTGTCAAAGTCTCTTAAAAGTATCAGATTAATTTACCCTTTTATGACATTTACGGTTCAGGTTGCCAAATGTCAAAGGGTACAACCCCAAGACAACTTAATGAAATTCATGATTCAAAAATGCATAATATTTGTAAAATATGTGTGTTCAAAAAAGTAATTACTTAATGGTTACTTGACACTGTTATAGCCATTTATTCTTAATACAACTTTTGTTGAAAATTGTATAAAACACGAGAAGATTTATACAAAGAATGTTTTTCAAAACAAAAAATTGCTACATGCATTTTAAAGCTACTTTTTTCCCATTCTTATTTGTCAGCATCCAGTCTTATATTCTTAAGATTTTTTTTATTATTTAGAAAATCAACTGTACTCTGTGAAGCACCAAAACACTGATCTGAACAACCTATCAAGAAACATCTTTTATAATCTCCAAAGAACCAAACGCCAATTCACCTCCATGTAGGTCAGTCACATCCATAAGTGAGAGGACGTTCATGCATGACTACTAAAACCTCAAGACTTCACTTTTGATGGAACAATCCCCCTATCCTCCAGCCTTCTGTTCTAATAACACAGAGGAAAATCCCAGCGTCTCAGACCATCTTGGATGAAAACTGCTATAGAGGAGAGAAACAGATTCGTTCTTTATACCTCCTCTGTCTCCAGAGTGTTTTTTTTAAGGTCACTCTTAGATTCACCAGTGAATTCATGAATTCATTCATACCTCATTCCACAGAGCAGGTACCAGATGAAAGAAATAACACATGCTCACCAAGAGCCAAAGCATCATCTGGTGAAGAATATGAATAATTCAAATCAAATGAGCCATAACAACTAAAGCCTATTCCATGATTCCCCCCCCCCCCCCCCCCCCCCCCCCGCTTTTCTTTCCAGCTGAAGTGAAAGAGCGAACAGATTTGGTCAAGATTTTCCTTTCAGAGCCTCTCATAGTTTATAGGTTCCACTTATCTAATTACATGCATGACACAAGGTCAGGGATGTTGTGAGATGGCTGCGAAGTACTTATAGTTCAAAGAGGTACTCAAGCTTATATGCCATCTGATTTCCATGTAAATAACATGCGAGTTAAGCTGCACATAGCAAATCAAAAGTCAGGGTTACAGAGTGCGATAGATAGATAGATAGATAGATAGATAGATAGATAGATAGATAGATAGATAGATAGATAGATAGATAGATAGATAGATAGATAGATAGATAGATAGATAGATAGATAGATAGATAGATAGATAGATAGATAGATAGATAGATAGATAGATAGATAGACAGACAGACAGACAGACAGACAGACAGACAGACAGACAGACAGACAGACAGACAGACAGACAGACAGACAGACAGACAGACAGACAGACAGACAGACAGACAGACAGAACAAAAAAGTATAATAGCTATTCTTTGAAGTAGGCTACATATGAGCAACATGTAAATATGGTACGAAATACAAAATATCATGTAAAGGTTTTACCTGGAGGGATTTTGAAAGCAAATGAGTTCATATTGGGCTATTTATCTATCTGGCAGAACTCTCAGTCTGCAGCCGCTTTAACTCGTCTTATTGTACAGATATGTGTAGGCCTATTTGTGTCCAATTGTGCACTTCATTTTACGGCTATTTGAGCAAAGTAAATCAAATTAAACATCACGGATCTGAAAACAACCTCATTAACTCAGACAGCAACAGTGACGACCGTTTTAACTGTGTGATTTCTCTCACTGTTTATGTTAGCATAATCTTTGTTTTAACGTCTAGAGCGTCAAGTGTTTTTAAATGTGTATTTTTTCATCACTTCAGTGTGTTGAACAGACCTGAATCACTACGTGGCTGCTCTCTGGAAGCTCTTGCTTCGAATGAGGCTCGAACGCTGATTCGTATGTTATATAGCGTTCTAAATATAGCTCGTCTTTCAAAGGCATGTATGTTGTGAGTGGCAACTCGGAGAACGAATCATAGGTCCAGAACAGCATCGAACTCCTCCCACTGTCCGAGTTTAGCTCCGCCTTTCTGAATCGCCACCAAAGTTTTCGTCCCTTTTTTCCTTATATGGTTACGCACGAAGTTGATTGACAGATAAGCACGCCCCCTTGATTCGCGGGCATCCGCAGACGGTACGGTGGCTCCCCACACTGACTGACACAGTAACCTGTGAGCTACTCTGCTCCTGCAGCTCACCTTCCAGAAACATTGTGAGGAAAGCAAACAAACCTGGATGGATGGATCCTTTACTATTAAATATATTTTAGTGTCCATAGTGAACTGAAACGTTTCGGATTTCGTGACTGATCTGAATGTTTCAGTCGCTCGCGCTGAAGAGAACGCGGATTCCTCGCGCAGAGAATCAAAGTCTCTCAAACGCACCGTTTAGCTGCACAAACATGGATGTTCTGGCCAATTACAGTATTTTTCAAGAACTTCAACTTGTTCATGACACTGGCTACTTCTCCGCGATGCCGTCTCTGGAGGAAAACTGGCAGCAGGTGAATTGCTTTTATCTCTGTCTTTGCAATTTATCCAACTTTTTTTCGCGTGTCAGTGCGCTCTTGCGTGCACGCGCAACTTATACATACGCGACAAACAGTATTTATTGCATTTTGCATAATTGCAACTCTGCGTAAGGTGTCTTTAGTATTGCAAATGCATTTTAAAATACCACGTGGTTGAAATAATTTGATGCTTTCATGCCATACAGCTTACTTCTTGCGACCTAGTGCAATGTAGCAAAACATGCTGGGAAATTAAGATCTGAATAATACAAACAGAGACTCTTTGAATAATAGATCTACATCTGTCCTATCAGTGTTTTTTCAGTTCCCTTGGCACTGCACAGACTCTCGACTCTACTGCATTATATATAAATGCATGCGCGTGATTGACTCATAATGTGTTTGGCTGTTAAACGTGCATGACAGACGTATATAGTGCGCATATCTATGAAACTGTGTAGAATCGTATGTATAATCTACTCATTTTCATGCAAATGACACTTTTTCCCACTCACGAGGATGGAGCCATGCGGCGCGTGGACAAAGCACACTGGCATCCACATGGACGTTGGTTTATGCTCTCGTGCATTCACAACGATTTGAGATTTATGAAATCCATTTAGTGAACAGAATTGGTTTGCACCGTGCACATGTGAGTAATGACTGTGGCGCGTCGCGAGCGCATGGATAGAGGCATGCTTTGCGCAGAGTTGAGCTCTCCGCAGTGCTGAAGGGGCAAAGCATGGTCCATCCATTGATGCCGGTGCATTGCTTTCTCAACGTGCATTGATTTTTAGATTGCTCGACCATTTTTATTAACCTATGGTTTGTGATTGCATTTTTCTCAATATGATGCATCTAATGCTGGCTGCTTTGGCACCATTGTTTATTGGTTGGTTTATTTGGTCATTATGCCGCTAACCTTGAGTTTTGATAGATGGTCATGCAGTATTGGTCATTTTGAAAATGGATCACACTGCATATGCATATATGCAGGTTTGTATACAATTTCATGTAGTGACAATTCACATGCAAATGCATGTAGTTATGAGGTATATGAAATTTTTGTACTTTTAAAAATAAGTGAACTACATAGAAGCTAATGGGGATAAAATTGTAGAATGGTAAACAGTTACCGAAACTACAATGCACTTATACATTCATGTACATTTTAACCTAAAATCTTGATGTTGAAGAAGAAAAGTTCATAGATGTATCTCAACTGCAGTGTGGTAGTAGGACTAGTAAGTGTGTATGTAGGAGTTGGGGAGCCAGTGTTTGGCTTTGCTATTGACTTTCAATATGAATAAGAAATGCTCAAAGACTGACATTTGACCTCAATAGAGCTCCTGTGCCCTTGGTGCTCTGTAGTGCTAAGTGATCCTAAAGGCCAGACTTCCTCCAAAGCAGCGAATATTGCTCACAAACCGTGTAATCCCTAGTAAGTGGAAAGAAATAGGCCAGAACAGTAGAGACCTTCTTCCAAGCTTTGATAGGCCTACAAGACTACTTATTCTCTAGACGTGTGCAGCTTTTCACCTCAGGTTATTCTTCTGGTTGTGCTTAAAATTGATTAAATGTGGATGGCGATGATGTGCGTTGTCTTTAGAAAGACTGTGTAAAAACACCCTGACTTTAGCTAAGCAAAATGTCAGTCAGCATATTGACACGTTGCACTCAAAGACCTCAGAGGCCATTTCAGGTCATAAATATGATATTACAAGAAAAATACAATTCAATTTTTAATACGTGGCTCAAGTATCCTGCTATGTCAGGGGAGGACCTATTGAAAAGTGATAAGGAGGGATTGTGTAGTTGCAAAATTCAATATAGAACAAAAGATCCTTGCCTGAAGCTCCTCCATCAACCATCACATGCCCTATAGCCATGACAGAGGATATCCAAAATACCTCACCTTGAAGAGACTCTCAGTGTGACTCACCTACTCCCGTGGAGAAGGGTATCTGCAAAATTGGAACAGAGAATGGTATGGCGTCTGTCCCCATCGAAACTGAATGACCATTCTGGAACTCATGGGATACATTGGCACATCAGACTATTCTGGAGTGTTTTTGTCTCATAGCATCTATTTTGGGACTTAGGGGAACTTGAAATGTCTTTTGTTCTCATCGCTTTCATTTCAACTGTCTGATATTTTTAGGCTTGGTTTTGAAATCTTGCTTGCAGCTGCAATAACATGTTGTGGTGGTGGAGAGCAAGGAAAAGAATGCCTTTATGAGATGTTTCCCTCTATTTAACCACAATAATAAGTATTAGAGATGGATGATATGACCAGAGTCTATCAGTCATTTTACATCATTTATACTATGTTTTAAAATATTACTTTCACTGTTTTGAGTCTTCTACTTTTAACTTTTTGTACTGGTGATATGCTGTGTCACATGAGCAAGAGTGCGGTTGTTTCCACAAAAATTTTGCAAGTGTAATATTGCTTTTATACAACAGTTCAATAAATTAGAATTTATTGATGAGTAATTTTAGACACAATATTGCCAGTAACTTTGTATTTTTTTTTGCTCTGCCAATGAAAAGTCACTGCAGAAACGTTGCAAGACACAGTAGTGGCATTACTGAATGATTCACTGTTTTTGAACAAATCTGTTTAGTGACTCATTCATAAAGACCATCACTTGTTTCGCTATTTTTAGTTTTTAAACAAATCAGAAGTATGATTCAATGACTCGGTTATAAAGACTTGTTTCGCTCCTGAATGAAACTACGTTTATTACAGATTGGTTGAATGAAAGATTTCTTGACTCACTCATACAGTCACTTGTCGTCATGTCACCAACTGGCGAATTGACATAACTACAGAAAGAGTCACTTAAAAATCCCACCATTAATACAAAAATGAATACGACAGCTAATGCAATTACTTTTTATTCTTTCTTTATTTATTTTATCTTAATTTTACTGTTGAACTATGGAATTAAACACTTTACTAATGAACGGCACATTTAATTTGATTGTTTTCTTTTTATTTGGAAACTGATGAATGCAAACCAAAAGATTATGCTTTTGTTATGAATCATTTTTTACATCAGTGCATAACTCAAAACAGTGAATCAATTACTCCATTTTGTCCCACTTTGTATTTTACTAATCATGTAATGGTATAAACAGTAAAGTAAAATTATGCCATTTACTCAGATCTAATAAGTAGCATTTGCTTTATGAGATTAAGAAAAAATCTTTTAGCACTTTTCCCACAGCATGAGGTTTCAGTCATTGAATGGTGCTAGTTAATAGTGCTTCCCAGCTGTTCTTACATGATTTGTCATATGGCAAGCATGGAACTACTCATAAGCATTAGAATTATGACTGACAAGCACAAAAAGAAAACTGCACTTGTAGCTCTTTGAAACGTCTTTACTACATTTAATTTGCATGGTAATACTGTAATCACAGCGAGGATGTGATCCCTTCTTTATAAGAGATTCTTAATCAGGATGTGGTTAAGAAAATGTTTTTGTACTTTTGCATCTTTGCGCGCTCGGATCCACCAGACGTTTTTTCTCTTGCAGCCTCAGGCCAGGGCAAACTCTGTAACTGATACTGTAATGACTCTCCAAAGAGCCTAATGCACTGTGCTAAGGCAGCACATTGTGTGTTTCACAGTGTCAACTACTTACAGGAACGCTCCTCTAAAGTCATTACGTTGCTTTCTTGACTAAATGCCCCAAGGAAAAGTCTAAGAATAAACCAACCCTTTTTAACCCATACCTCCCATCTCGCCAAACCTCAATGCAAAGCCACCAAGATAAACAACCAAAAAAAAAAAAAAACACGCCACATTTCACGTTCCCCCTTTGAAATCTATCCTATGTCACAGCCCCCTGTCCCGAGCTGCAGAACGGCATGCTTATGAGGATTGACAGGAGGCTTTGAGCAAAAGTGCCAAGCGTGCATATTCCGTGCTGCAGTCTCTGCCACTCCGAAACCCCGGCTGCTCAGAAGCCGGAAAGAAAAAGATACCAAAAAGACCAAATCTGCTCTTCCATTCTTGGATGCTTCGAAACTCAGTTTTGCACTTCATTGAACCGTCTTCAACCGAAGCTTGGGCCAGTCCAGGCAGAGACCGCGAGCTCTCGCTTATCCACCACCTTGTTTAGGCCCATGGATCCGAGCGGATTCCCATTTCCGTAGGCGATGACTGCTGAAATGTGTGTTATGTAATTCTCTCAGCGCCACAGCTGCCTTCTTACAGCGTGCAAGTCGGCCCGCCGGAGAGAGCCAAACCCAGCCACATCACTGTGAAATCTTAAAGAGGTTTCCGGATCGCACGGCTCCGCGGGCCACGTCTTCATGCTGGGAGACAGGCCATATGGATCATTTAGTAAAATACACAGAGTTTTTCCTCTTAAGAATAATTTATGGACTCATTGTTTAGTGCTTGCCTCAAGAAGAAAATGAGACGGGCTGTCTTGGCTGACTTGTTTTCAATACTAAAATGTTACACACAGAGGGCTTTTTAGAGTGCATGCACAACCACCAAACGTTATTGAGACGCCATTAACCATCATTGCCGCTTATTTCAAACCAATATGCATCAGTAAATGAGTCCATTCGCACCCTTTAGTGATTCCATTCACACTTTTCGCTTGATTGCACGGCCCTGAGATTGAGTCCTCTACATTATCAGATGTGCTGGCTCATATTAACTACATCACAGTCCTCATTTATCATCGAAACCAGCGACAGATTTTTGGATAACACGCCGTGTAATGGAGCTGAAATGATCTGGTTGCTTGAGATAACATCAGTGCACTGATCCCATTGCTACTGACAAGCATCAGTAATTGAAAATGACAAAGCGATAGTGCTCTCCATCTCATGAGTCAATTCTGGGAGTTATTGCAATATAGTTGTCATGCATAGCGCATGGCTACTGCTCTAAGACAGTCGACTCGAGCGAGAAACGGGCCTTATGAGAGGCGAGGCATCTTTAAATATGCAGAGATATCATTAGTGGC